CTCTCCTTGACGGGTCCTCCACTGATCATAGAAGTGGGCAACTTACGGGGGGTTAGAGAAGCAGCACCATTGCAAATGTGACTGCTACAGAGGTGACAGATCTCTCCTGCAGTTATTCCTTCTAAGCCTTGCTTGCTCCAAAGAAACAGGAGTTGCTTTTACCATTCCTGCCACTGCAGTGGCAATCTTGGCAGCTGTGGAAGGGGCAGGAGAGAACTGGAAGGCCAGCTAAGGCAGGTGGAGGTGGCCTCTGAGCAACAAATTACTTAGCGCTGCTATCAACCACTGCTTCGTTTGATCAACTAGACAGACGTTTCGCAAGTTGAGCTTTTCTCGTCACAAAAGAGGGATTGACAACAAGGGCAAAACACAGTCCATAGAGTGGCTGCAAAGGGACGGGGCTGCAGTAAACAAGGTACATGAGGATCGTGCACCCTGTTTTAAGGGGTGGACTCCTGAAAACTTTGTTTAAAACAAGGTTCACGAGACTGAAGCTGGGGGAGGAGGTGGCAGCATGATGGAAAATTGCTGAAAGAAAGGCTTGAAGCTGCTTCATGGATTACAGCTACCAGAATTCCACAGCGATAAATCCTAGTCACCATCTCTGGTGGCTGAGAGCTTCTGGTAGCTGGAGTTCTAAGACCTAGCCCAGCTTCTGCTTCTGACCGGATCTGGTACTGGTTTAATCCTCTCTCACCCCTGGCAGGTTGCCCTTAATTTAGAAAAGGAACAAATTGACCTGTAGTGATTGGTACTCAAAAGCCAGTTGAAAACTTGGCTATTCAAGCAGGCCTTCCCTTCAGTCAATTAAGTGACTCTTTATTTCTTATTTCTTTTCTTTTGATTCATGCCATCTTGGGACTGTTTGCTTTAAACTAATTGTTAAAATTCTAAATCAACGGTTTATATTTTATATCGCTTTGTTTTTATTTATATAAAACTGTGTATATTTTAAATTGTTTTTATCTTGTATGTTGTGAGCTGCCCAGAGTAGACTATGTCTAGATGTGTGGCATATAAATAAATAAATAAATAAATAAATAAATAAATAAATAAATAA